CACAGACCTACTATGGTTTACACTAAGATCTATCATTGTTTACACTAGGATCTACTATTGTTTACACTAAGATCTACTATCGTTTACATTAAGATCTACTATTGTTGAGAAATGACAGAATTGCAGCAATTTTGATCATCATCAAAAAAAAAAATGTATGCACAAGCTCATGAGACTCTTGGCTACTACTACACCAAATTTTAGGTCAATATGTGTCAAATTCAATCTGGTTCTCGACCCCACCATAGAACTGAAACAGCTCTAATAAAAATAACTAATGACCTTCTTCTTGCTGCTGACTCTGCTCTTCTGTCTATCCTCATTCTACTTGATCTAAGTTCTGCCTTCGACACAATCTGTCATTCTATTCTGCTCAACAGATTAACCTCCATTGGAATCTCAGGTACTCCGTTAGACTGGTTCAAATCTTATCTCTCTGACCGCACTCAATTCATTCAGCTTAAATCCTTTCGTTCCCAGTCTTCCCCCGTCTCTACGGGTGTCCCCCAAGGCTCTGTCCTCGGACACCTCCTCTTCATCATTTACCTCCTTCCTCTAGGTCACATCTTCCGTAAATTTGGTGTCCCTTTTCACCGTTATGCTGATGACACACAGCTCTACTTGTCAACAAAACCAAACTCCACCCATCCACCCTCCATCCTCACCGACTGTCTCAATGAGCTAAATCACTGGTTTTCTAACAATTTCCTACAACTAAACAGGACAAAACAGAAATCATTCTTGTCTGTACCAAAAACTCTATTTCAAAATCAGAACATCTTCTCATCCCCCTTAACAACTCTCTGCTATCCCCCTCGCCTCAGGTCAAGAGTCTTGGTGTCATCCTCGACACCACTCTCTCCTTCACTTCACACATCAACAATGTCACTCGGTCTGCCTATTTCCATCTCCGAAATATTAACCGTCTCCGCCCTTCTCTCACACCCCGCTCCACAGCCATCCTTGTGCACAGTCTTGTGACTTCTCGGATTGACTACTGCAACTCCCTTCTTTATGGCCTTCCCAACAAATCTCTCCAGAAGCTGCAATTGGTGCAGAACTCAGCTGCCCGTGTCATACTCAAACCTCCTCCTATAACCACATCACTCCAGTCCTGCAGCAGCTCCACTGGCTCCCGGTTAAATCACGCATCGTTTTCAAAATTCTTCTTCTCACTTTCAAAGCTATCCACAACATTTCCCCTCCGTACCTATCTGACCTCCTACACATCTCCATCCCCTCTCGCTCTCTCAGATCCTCCTCTTCACTACACCTCCATGTACCCTCTGCCTGCCTCTCCACCATGGGGAGAAGGGCCTTCACCTGCTCTGCCCCTCATCTCTGGAACTCTCTACCCCCTGACTTACGAAATACCACCTCTCTTTCTATATTCAAGACTGCTCTGAAAACACATCTCTTTAGACTCGCTTATCCTTAACTTTGCTGTATGTATTTTATATTCTTTATGTATTTTATATTCTTTATGTATTTTATATTCTTTATGTATTTTATACTTCAATTTATTCCTGTTGATCTTTGCACACTGCTTGTTGTTTGTTTTAACACAATCTTTCTGATATGTTTTTTACTGTAAAGTGTCCTTGGGTGTCCTGAAAGGCGCTTTTTAAATAAAATGATTATTATTATTATTATTATTATAAATTGAGTTATAGCCATTTTTGTGATTTTAAGATGAATTGTCTGTGATGGCCATCTTGGATCAGGTTGACTCCAAAAATGAATCACTTGTCACTCATTCAGTTTAATCACTCATTAAACAAGGGTGGAGGCCTCCGTTTCCAAGTGTCCCCCTCTTACAATGCTGTTATTCCTAGGATCACTCAGCCCTCTATGAATAGCAAGCAACCATCAGAACACTAAAGGCCCCAGTATACTCGGGCATACCTCAGTCCGTGGAGGTCTGTGCATACCGGATTAGACACCAAGCGGACAAGCGGACGCTTGTAGAGTATGTCCGTGCAAAGATAAATATTTATGATCGCGCAGGCGTACTCGGTGTCACACAATAAACTGCCCGGCGACGGACTGTTTTGTATGCGACACCAATGTATTAAATTCCACTTCTTCATCCCTGATCTGGTGTAATGACCTTTTCTTTGGTTTAGTTTGTTCCAAGAGGCAAGCAATCTCTTCCTCCTCCTCCATTGATGTCATGACTGAAATTATGAGAAATTAAGGAATTTGTCACTAGAGAATTAAAATCAGGTCCAGCGTGGCTGCGTGAGGGTCTGGAGATTTCCCGGTGGGCTGGTCTGATGTGTGGGCTGCAGGGCCAGTGCTCCGTTTTTTGTTTTTTAGAACTTTTTATTAACAACATATAAACACAGAACACCACTGTGGCTAGGACTGCCAGCACTCTTTTTTTTTGTGCCCTGTCAATCAATCCAGTAGACGTGCCAGCAAATGACCAATCGGCGACCTCAATTTGTCCCGAAGGTAAACACTCCTTGTCTGTGGAGCTGGTCTGCAGCCGATCAGGGCGGAGGCTCGAGTATGAAGTCTCAACCATCTGCAGACAGTGAGCACAGTTTCCGCGCGGATTGAAGTCCGCCCGAGTCTGTGCGAGCCTTAACGATTGGTCGGTAGGCTGATGGTCCTCCATCACATGAACAGCTAGTTCTGGATGTCAACAACAAACTGGTTGATCCACTATGATAAGAGGCTATTTATATGACTGCGTTTACTGAAGCTCCTCAGACTGACAAAGTCTTTTGGATTAAGACGAAACGTTTCAACAAGTTTGCTTTTTTTTTTAATCCATCCAGAGGACCTGTTAGATTATTCTACCTGGATTATTGAGTATGAATCAGAATACTAATCACTTCTATAAATATAACAAATGATTAATTTCAGCAAGCTACATTAAAAATTGTGTGGTTCATAATATGTTCAGTGTTTCCCCTACCATTAGGGGAAACATTAGTAGGACAAGACCTGGTTGTGTTAAAGTGTATACACGCGCGTGTGTGTGTGTGTGTGTGTGTGTGTGTTTGTGTGTTTTAATGTATATGTTGGCTCACTCAGCATTTGTTTTGGATAAAAACAGAATGAAAAGGGCAAAGATTGAGTGTGGATGATTGAGTGTCCTTGCTTGTAAGCAGGAAGCCCCGCCCTGTCAACAGAACCGAGTGCCCAGTCTACCAAACCCCACCCCCAACCACCTGTCTGCACTGACGTAACGCTAAACTAGCGGCTTGCAATGCAGGTGCACTAGCTAAAAAGCTAAAGGCAGCCTCTTCCTTCATGTTGAACCCTCATGCTGAACACCACCCCCGCCACTCAAAAACTGTCAGTACAAACAGCGCACGGCTCAGATGTGCGTCTGTCTCTCCCCCCCCCCGCTGACCCTCCCCCCCGCCAAAAAACAAACAAAACAAAACTGTTGGTTCGGACAGCGAGCGGCTGCGTCTGTGTCCCCCACCCACCCTCTAAAACTGTTGGTTGAGATGAGCGCCCCGCCATGGCAAGTTATCTAGGGGAAACACTGATATTTCAGTAACAATAGATACATACATGCACAGAAACAAGCAAAAGCATTATCGATGCATCTTAGGTGGTGGTCAGAAATAACTTGTTTCATCTTCAAGTTCTATATTTTATTGTGGTGACATGTCAGTATTTACACTTCCAGTGCAGAAACCAAAACAAGACAGGAAAGCATAAAAATAGGGTGAATGGAAAAAAAGAAAAGAGGCGAGGAGCAACAAAACAAGGACAGAATAGGGAAGCAGAAACCAGAAATGACAAGAGAATAACAGTGGGATCAAACCACTTCCTCCCTGGGAATCCCTGACACAAGCTGAAAGGCCACAGGAATACTCCACACTCAATCTTTGCCCTTTTCATTCTGTTTTTATCCAAAACAAATGCTGAGTGAGCCAACATACACATTAAAACACACAAACACACACACACGTGTATACACTTTAACACAACCAGGTCTTGTCCTACTTAGGATTCAATTTTCTCCTTTCAGCTGCTCCTTCTTCAGGGGTCGCCACAGCGAACTAACACACAAAGACTTGGTGATTGTTTTATGCCGGATGTCCTTCCTGATACAACCACAGACCACCTAGCTACCACAGCCCTCTGTGTGGAGCAGAGAGCTACCATCTAGGGTGCCCGGGGGAGCAGATGGTGGGGGTTAAGGGCCTTGCTCAAGGGCCCAGAGAGGGGCAAATGAGGGTGGAGGCAGGTGTGGTTGCTTCACCTATCTCAGCCACAATTTGATGTCGTCTGTACCAGGTGTTGAACCGGCGATCTTCCGATCACAGGCCCACCTTCTCTAACCTCTGCGCCACCACTCCCCTCGTCCTACTTAAGATACGCTAACTAATTTTCTCTCACCAATTATCAAAGCATATATAACAGTCTTCATGCATTCTTTTTCCTCAGCTAGTCTCTTTTTAGAGCACGTGATTCCTGATGCTTACTTTTCCAAAGCTTCCAGCCTCATGCCTGTTAATCGCTTCACTCTGTGGCTTTCTGGAAACTGCTTCCTCAGTTCCTGTAGACAGGTCTGCAAGAGTGAGGGCAACAGAGAGACAAGTTATATAGAGACTTGTGATAACAACATTTATTTTTTTATACTCGTGTCTTTAAAAATGTTTAAGGCTTTCCTATATAAAACAGATGCATTAAAAAAGGAATATTTGATCAATGATTCTGGTAAACATACTCATAACTCATCTGTGGTTCTTCTGTTACTTGTATGGGCAACCACGCTAGCTACTATAAAAAAGGAGAGCAAAGTTTCATAATGCTCAATTTTCCTTTTCTACACAGAACTGAAATTTGTTGGACTCATGAAACAGAATTAGGGGAGGAATGGTTATATTCAGCATTATTCTGGATTTGATGGAAAAGTCAGAGTGACTTGAATCATTTACACTACTTATTATTTTAAGTGAGGCAGCAGGAGTGAAAGAATTGCCAACAGACAAGTAATTCTAATGATGGAGCTTTGCCTTGTCTGTACACAGTGAGTCACTCATTTTGCCAAAGGAATCACATTTATACTGATTAGTTATTAACCACTCCTGGTAATATTTTATCTTCTGTCAATGCATTTTACTATTTTTAGAGCAATGAGAACTTCTAAACTCAAAAACAACTCATAAAGCTTTATGTTGGCAAAAAGATCCAAAGGTGGAAAAATGTTTCACAAAATAAATGATAGCAAAGTTTAGCAAACACTTGAAGCATGCTTCTCAACTCATTTGCTACACCCTCTAATTCCAGCTCTCCGTAAACTGTTTTTCCAAAGTACAGAATAATAATTCTTGGCCAAATAAAATTGAAAAAAAAAAAAAAAATATATATATATATATATATATATATATATATATATATATTATGGATGCACGATATTATCGGCATGGTATCAGTATCGGCCGATAGCGTTAAAATTCAATATCAGACATTGGCCATTCTATTAAAATAACTTGCCGATATAAGAGACGCTGTTTTTGCCTGCAGCGGCAGCACAACGTAATAACGTTGCAGCAGCAGCGCAACGCGATGATGTTGCGTGCACATTCCCGAGCTCACGGCGGAGAGTAAAATTCAAAATGTCTGCGGTGTGAAAGTTTTATTTTTCGTTGGTGAGGATGGCAGATTAGGAAGATTTATGGAGTACCGGTACGTTGAGCCTCGCTACATCGTCCCCAGTCAGAGATATTTTTCCGACGTAACATTACCCGAGTTACAAGCTGTAATTTCCGACGTCGTTGAGAAGCTACTAGCCAATAGTACGACTTGTTGGGTGAGTTTTACCACAGACATTTGGACGTCAAGTGTTAGCCATGTTAGCATGATTAGTCTTACAGAACAATGGATGGACAAAAACTTTGAACTTAAAAAGTCTGTCCTTCATGCACAGGAGTGCAGAGGATCCCAATTTTTGTAGCAAATAAGCCTAAATAAGAGGGTTATGTTCTGACAAAGGAATGTATATAAAATATCGGTATCAGCATCGGTTATCGGCCAAATAAGTTTTAACATCTCGGCATATCGGCCAAAAATCCAATATTGTGCATATATATATATATATATATATATATATATATATACACACATGTAAATTTGGCAGTGAGGGTGCTACAAAGCAGGAGTGCCTGTGACAGTGGATGAACTTTTGACATTTTTGAGTGTGTATGGAAGTATGGCAAAATCTTACCAGAGCCAAGTCATCCCGACTACAGTCCAGTGCAGCGATCATCACCTGCTCATAAATGATCCAAACTGGGCAGAACAAACACAGACAAAGAAAACCGTGTTTTATGACCTTTCTATTCAAACGTAACTTCAAAGTAATTATTAAACTGTACACGTAATGAACAAATTTAGTGTCTTCAACAGCTGCATGTTATTTTCACACAAGTGTTTTTATGATGAAAGCTTCAGTCACACTAAAGATAATGTTGATATTGTATATTTCATCAAAGCATTAATGTATTAACATACCGTTATTTAGAATATGCAAAAAGAAAAAGTTATGTGACTTGCGTTTTCTTTACATAACAATTTGTGCTGCTAATCATAACATTTAGGAAATATTGTTTTTTACAACACCAGATAAAATAAAACATTTGAAATATATCAGTCTGTGTGTAATGAATGAATATAATATACAAGTTTCACTTATTGAATGGAATTACTGAAATAAATCAACTTTTTCATGATATTCTAATTTTATGAACAGCACCTGTACTTCACAACTAAAATGACCAAATGGTCACATTGTAGAGAATAATTTGTTAAATGTGTCATTATGCAAATCTGACTAATTGCCCTGATTTTACTTGGGTTGTTTTATAATAAATCATCTAGATCCACATGTTGAGCAGAACAAACATCCAGTTCGGACATTTGTAGCACAATTGACCATCACCCCCATGAAATGGTCAATAGGGTTTAGAAAATTGCAAACTCTTCTGTTAAATTTCAACTCAGTTTTAATGAGCACAGATGTATTTGTGCAATCCAAATTTTAAAGAAGCTGAACTCAGAAAAGACACAGGTTATGGTTTGTGGACTTGAGCATCTTAAATTTTGCAGCCTTTCATTTCCTCAGGATGCCATTAATTTGTCCTCCAGCACTAATGTAAAGAACCTTGGTGTTAATTTTGATCACACGTCATTAAATCCTCACACTGAAAATGTTACGGGACTGCTTTCTTCCACCTGTGCAAGAATCTTTAAATTAGAAACATCTTGCCCCAAAGTTATGCAGAAAAGTGGGTTCAAGCATTTATCACTCCTAAGCTGAACTATTGTAACAATTTATTATCTGCATGTCATATAAATCTTTAAACATTCTTCAGTTGGTCCAAATGTTGCTGCTGCTAAAGATCTGATGAGAGTTAGGAGAGATCATATATCTCCAGTTTTAGCTTCTCTCCATTGGCTCCATGTCAAATTCAGAATAGAATTAAAAATCGTTCTTCTATACACTGCTCTCAACAACCAAGTTCCATTTTATATTCAAGATCTTATTGTTCCAGCCACTAGGGAACACAAGCCAGTGTATCTCTTGTGCCGGTCCCAAGCCCGGGAAAATGGTGAGTGTTGTGTCAGGAAGGGCATCCGATGTAAAACCTTTATGCCAAAACTAAAAAGCGAGTTCATCTAAGCGACACCATACCGGATTGGTCGAGGCCCGGGTTAACAACGACTGCTACCGGTGCTGTTGACAAACGGCGTTGGCGGAAATTGTGCTCTGTTAAGTTGAAGAACACATGCAGGGAAATGTGTCAGGAGACAGACAGAGAAAAGGAAAGTCAAGAATGTAGGACTGATGGTGGTAACTCTAAATGTGGAGACAATGACAGGCAAAGGTAGAGAGCCGGCTGACATGATGCAGAGAAGGAAGGTAATGTCAGCCAGCTCTCTACCTTTGCCCATCATTGTCTCCAAATTTAGAGAGCTGGCTGACATGATGCAGAGAAGAAAGGTAGATGTTTTATAGTCCAAGAGACCAAGTGGAAGGGCAGCAAGGCTCGCAGCTTTGGATCAGGGCTTAAACTGTTTTACCATGGTGTGGATAGAAAGAAAAATGGAGTAGGGGTGGTTCCTGAAGGAGGAGTTGGCAAAGAATGTAGTAGAGGTGAAAAGAGTGTCAGATAGGGTGATGTGTCTGTTGGTAGAAGTAGAAGGTCTGATGCTAAATGTTTTTGGTGGTTATGCTCCACACGCTGGAAGTGACATAGAGGAGAAAGATAGATTTTGGAAGAATCTAGATGAAGTAGGGGTGCAAATCTCTCAGTGTCTGGCAATTTGATTCAATTCTGATTTTTTTGTGTCACGATTAGATTCGAAATTGATTTTTGATTCAGATGTTTTTTCTATTGAAATGGTCATATACTTTGTTTAAATTATGTAATTAACAAGATGAAAATATTAAACAACAATGTAAACAAATAGAACATTTATTTAAAACAATAATTTTAGGTTCCTTACTGTATCAAGATATTTTTGCATCATTTTATATTTATACCAAAACCAAGAACAAATATAGGAGTGCATAAAATTCTGTAACTTAAATTACCAGTATTATGTTAGCTTAGCTGCTTGGCTTTTTCTAAAATAAAATATCTAGGACCAAATAATCCATCCATCATCTTTACCCACTTCTTCCTTTATGGGTCACGGGGGTCACTGGTGCCCATATCCAGCTATCACTGTGTGAGAGGCGGGGGGACACCCTGGACAGGTTGCATATCCATCCATCCATCCATCCATCCATCCATTATCTTTACCCGCTTGTTCAATTTTTGGGTCACGGGGTCGCTGGTGCCCATGTGCAGCAATCACTGTGCGAGGGGCGGGGTACACCCTGGACAGGTCGCAAGTCCATCACAGGGCGGTCGCATATCCATCAAAGACAAATAATTCAAAATATATAAATACAAAAGTAAACAAAGACTTCAGCCTACCATAGTGCATTAACATTTAACTCAAAATAAAATGCAGAGTTCATAGATTTTTTTAACCATATTGCAATAACATTTGCTATATTTTCAAATATGAAATATATAATATATATAATAATATATAATATTATATTATATATGCAGGCTTCACAATTTTAACCATATTGATGTATATTTGGTAAATCTTTAACAAAATTTCAAAACCTGTGCGCAAGTCTGTACAAAAACTCTTCTGAACTGTCTGTAATTTATAAACCAAAATAAATTGTATCATTTAGGACTGGCTCCAGGCGATGTGTCTCATCTGGTCTCTTCAACCGGTTAAAAATACAAACTACATTCAGTTTTTTGTATAACTTGTGTATATAAGTTTTTGTATAATATGAGAAAAAATAGTTACCTTTGATCTGCAGCTAGTAACATTCATTAAAGATTCTCCCACTTTATTCTTTGTTTGGTGGTAGAGGTGTGGCCCTGCTTTATCGCTTCAAAAGCTACGTGAAGGAGTAACGTTTCTTGGGTCCAGCATATTAAAAATAATCCTAAAGCCCTCACCTTCAACTGAGCTGTCTGGTCATAAATCTTTGTGATATAGCAAGCAATGGAGGGAAAATCTTCAAAGCCCTGCTTGGGGAATTAGCTGGAAGTTCGTTGCAGAATCTGCTGGTCTGCTTTCACTTTTCATCTTTCTTCTTATTTCCAAAATACTGTACCACATTTTTATTCTACACTTCTTGCAAACAACTGTGCTCTTGCTAAGCTCTGCCTTTACTGGATCATTGTAGAATCCGAAATGACTTTACACCAACTTTTAATGTCGAAGGAGCGGGTTGAATCATGCTGTCCTCCCGTTCCATGCTAGCAGACTCCATTCAGATAAAGGGAGCTGGGTAACTAGCTTGTTGTATGGTGGCCTACAAGACCCAACTTTGCGGTGACGGGTGGGCACATATTGCAATATGCAGTACACTCGGGAGTTGGAGCGGAAAAAATAAAACTTGAACGTATTTTAAAATCAATTTTGGGGCTTTTAGAATTGATTCCAAATTGCCAGGACTAGGAATCTAGATTCTAAAATGAATAAAAAAAATTCTGCTCCCCTAGGATGAAGTGACAAAGAATATTTCCAGGGAGGAAAGAATGGTGATCAGAGCAGACCTGAATTTTGGTGAAAGAAACAGAAGGGATGAGGAAGTGATGGGTAGGTTTGGTGTCAAGGAAAAAAATCAGGAAGGACATATGGTGGTGATTTTTGCCAAGAGAATGGAAATGGCTGTAGTCAACACTTATTTCCAAAAGAGAAACATAGAGTGACCTATAAGAGTGGAGGCAGGAGTACGCAGGTAGACTACATTTTGTGTAGAAGAAGAAACCTGAGAGGAATTGGGGACTGAAAAGTTGTGGCAGAAGAGAGCATGGCCAGACAACATCGGATGGTTGTGTGTAGAATGACTGTTGTTGTGAAGAAGAGAAAAAGAGTAAAATCAGAGAAGACCAGACTGTGGAAGCTGAAGAAGGAAAAATGTTGTGAGGAGTTTAGAGAGGAGCTGTTAAAGGCTCTGGGTGGTAAGAAAGAGCTTCCAGATGACTGGGCTACTACAGCAACAGTAATTAGAGACAGGCAGGAAGGTATATGATGTGTCATCTGGACAAAGAATAGAGAATAAGGAAACCTGGTCGTGGAATAGTGAAGGTCAGGAAGCTATTCAGAGAGCCAATAAGAAGTCATATTTCAAGAATAAATGACAGTGAGAGGACTGAAGAGAATAGACACAAATATAAAGAGAAGTAATGTAGAGCAAAGACGGAGGAAGCTAAGGCAAAGCAGAAGGCATATGATGAGTTGTATGAGAGGCTGGACACTAAAGAGGGTGAGAAGAACTTGTACCAATTGGAGAGACAAAGAGGTCAGGCTGGAAAGGATGTGCAGCAGGTTAGGCTTGTGAAAGATAGGAATGGTAATGTTCTAACAAGTGAAGAGCCAGGATGATGGAAGGAGTATTTTGAGGAGCTAATGAATGGAGAGATTATTGGGATGAAGGTCAGAAAGCTCTAAAAAGAATTCAGGGGAAGGCAGTAGGACCTGATGACATACCAGTGGAGGTCTGGAAATGTCTAGCAGAGATAACAGTGAGGTTTTTGACTCAAATATTCAATGGCATGTTTGAGGGTGAGAAAATGCCTGAGGAATGGAGAAGAAGTGTGCTGGTGCCCATTTTTAAGAAAAAGTGTGACATACAGAGTTGAAGCAACTATAGAGGAATTAGGTTAATGAGCCACACGATGAAGATCTGGGAGAGAGTTGTGGAA